AGGCAAATCTCACCACAGGAGAAAATGTCTCATCGTAATCTATACCTTCAATTTGGATAAAACCTTTCGCTACTAAACGAGCTTTGAACTTTTCTATTGATCCATCCACCCCACGCTTGATTTTGAATATCCACTTACATCCAATTGATCGACGATGAGGTGGAAGGTCAACAAGTTCCCAGACATTATTTTTAATCATTGAGTCCATCTCATCATTCATTGCATCTTTCCATTCTGAATTACATGGTGAATTCATTGCCTCTTTATAAGAGTTCGGTTCATCAACTTCTAAAGGAGTACAAGAAATACATCCTCCTCAATTTGAAAAAATCGACGAGGAATTCTTCCACGATCACTCCTTCTCAAAGTAGGACCTTCATTATTTTCCAAACTAGTAGAAAAATTTCTCCCACTGTCCTCGAGAGGCATGGGACTATGAGCTTGATGACTTATCTCGTGCTCTTCTCTATAAGGCTCATCCTCATTTTGAGTTTGTTTTTCACTAGTGGAATTTAGAAGAACTTCGCTATCTTTGGAGACCTCTTGAGGTAACATATCCCCTTCATCTCCTAAAGATACTTGTACTTCATTATCTTTGGAGACCTGTTGAGGTAACATATCCCTCTCATCTCCTAAAGATACTTGTATTTCTTGTTGTAACTCATACAACTGAAGGTCTCTCTTAATTTCACCAATACTTGGGAACTCATCCTCAAGAAAATCGACATTGCGTGAGTCTATCTCAGTCATTCCACCATCTGGATGTTCACCAAACATAACATACCCTTTTGAACGTTCAGGGTATCTAATGAACACCATTTTGGTAGCTCTTGGACCTAGCTTTAAATACTTGTGAGTTTGGTTATGCACATAGCCAGCCGAACCCCAAGGGCGCAAATGGTCCAAAATGGGTGATTTCCCATTCCACAACTCATATGGAGTGAGTGACACACTTTTACTTGGTACACGATTAAGGATGTATGTTGCCGTAAGCAACGCATCTCCCCAAAATTTAATAGGGAGATTGGCTTGCGCCATCATCGACCTAACCATGTCCAGTAATGTACGATTTTTTCTTTCAGCAACACCATTTTGTTGCGGAGTATATGGAACCGTAAGTTGCCTTGAAATACCTTTAGCCTCACAAAACTCTTTGAACATATCACAGAGGTATTCACGTCCCCGATCAGTACGAAGAGTCTTAATTCTTCGTTCCTTCTGGTTTTCAATTTCGGCCATGAAACGTTTGAACATATCAAGTGCTTCGTGTCGATGAGATAATAGGTACACATACCCAAAACGTGAATAAT